AGAAAAAATATATATATATATATATATATATATATATATATATATATATATATATATATATATATATAATCCTATTACAATTCCAAAGTCGGAAATTATTAAATCAACTTCAAAATGTCATATAATAAACGTAGTTTATTTGACTTTAGCGACTTTAGAGATTTTAAAAAGTGCAATATGGCGCAGTTGAAAAAGACAAATCACACTCGATGATAGAACTAAACAAAAGAAAGGGGAATACCGGAAAGCGGATCGGCAAAACTCATATTTCTATCTCATAGCAATTTGATATATCCTGGGAGGGGCACGTTAGTGTTCACGAAGAAGACGTCATTACTACTTGTTCGGCACAACTTTACGTTATACTTACATTTTCGAATTCACGATACAACGGAATAAAAATGGAGGAAATTCGATCTATGGTATGATGTCATTACAAATCGTGTTCATACATACGCTTTTATAAAAATTGCCGCGTTTTGTAATTGTATCATACAGTCCAACATGCACTTTTCTCTGTGCTCTTATGGGCAAATTGATTGATAAAGATGACGTTGTCTAATGTGTTTTGCTTAACTTCGTTAGAAATGAGGATTTTCAAAACCGTTGACGTAACATATCAAGAGAGAGAGATACAAAAGTTTAAGTTTTTATTTTAAATAAATATATAAGATTTACGTTGTGTTAATCGGTTTTGAAAACGCGAACTATGAGATAAGTAATTTATCACAATATATACGAGATTTTCACATTATCAATTATTATTATTAAATAATATACAATGAAAGAGATAGAGATAAATTTTTTTATGATTCTGATTTCAGTGGTGTGATACACTGGAAGAATTGTTGCAGTGTCCAGTATGTTTAGAGACTGCAGCAAATACCAAAAGAACAACAGTACACCAGTGTGTAAATGGACACCACATTTGTTCTGCGTGTAAGTCACAAATGTATTCGTGTCCTCTATGCAAGTCACAGTTCATTAATACAAGAAATTTGGCTGTGGAACATATCTCAGCAAAATTAGAAGATATAAAGGTATTACCTATATCATCCTTAATACAGCGATAATATTGAGGAAAGATTGTATGACAGCAAAAATCTGGAAAACAATAAGTAACACAATACATAGTATCAAATTAGATACTTATCTTGGATGTTTTCCTGTAAAAGATAAGAAATTATCAATTTACTAAGATACTGATAAGATACTAACCAGATGTATTGTTGTTTTTAGACATCTCTATTGCATCCATATCATGTATTGAATAGAAAAATTTTAGAGGGCAAGGTGTGTGTAGCCACTCAGACCGAGGACACTTGCACACCTTCTACGTCATATATATCAGCTTCATGTCAAACTGAGTCCTTGTCTAAAGAAAAACTACCACTGTTTGAGCTTCAGCAGGAACAAAGACAACAATTAACTATTCTTCCACCTAAAGTAGGAAAAGGAATTTATCCATGTCGCATTGGATCTTGTCAGGCACAGTTAGCACATGGAAGAATGATCAGCCACCTAAGATATTATCATAAAGATGCATTTTACGAGGTACCATTTGGTCAATTTCATTAATTTATATAGATCTTAATTGCTGAGATCAGCTGTATATCTTTCTCTCAGTTTTGCATAATTGCATGTGATTTCCAGGTCTACAGTAGATATGGCACGTTCAAACGAAACTTGAACCTGGAGTACAAATTACAAAAGTACTATAATGCCTATTTTGTTCGAGGCATGGGTCTGTTTTTTCTATATTTGTCTATAGATTGTAAAGGTGATTTATTGGGTAATGTGCAAATTGTTAATTGCAACGAAGCTGCCAAGCAATTCACGTATATGTTGAAGGTGGGCAGTGGACCTCAGGGAGTTTGCTACAGTGCAGCGGTAAGAGTATACCTGTATAAATTGTATATCACTGTCTGTTATCCAATTTATAAGGTTGTATATTTCCAAACAGAATCACTATCTTTATAACTTTACAATTACAAAATAAATGAGTCAATTAAAAACGTTCAACTAACCGATTACTGAGCGATGACGAAGTTATAAAGACAGTGATGTCTCTTACTACAGAATATAATTGCTTACAGAGCAATCGTGAAGTTAACTTACTTCACAATTACACTTGATAACTGATTTTATAATCACTATATAAGCAATTTTGCAAGGTCACTACGAAGTTATTCTTTGAAAGGGATTATTTTCAACAATGATTGTACAACGGATATAACGATAACGCCCGAAAGATACGCATGTCAAAATTATTAATTTTATGCTTCTGAATAGGTGAAGTCGTGTCGTGTACTGAAGGATGGTTCTGCGGATAGTTTATGCGTACATGACAACAACATGCGTCGCATAACATCGTACAACAATATCTTTCGTTGCGAGCTCACGATTAGTCGTAAAATCGAACATAAAGCAAATGTTTGTAGTCTCTAGACTACAAATGAGACTGACGCGGTACACTGAATCGGTTCTGATTTCTTTCTCCTTTCTTTCTTCTTATCAAGAACCCATAGTCGTAAACATATATATTCAATCATATATCAAAAGATGCTTTGTGATAATTACGTACACCAAAGGAACATAATTATTTTGATATGGAGAAGCCGATATATTTGTCTAATAGAAAGAGTGATGAAGCTGTGAATCTTTTTGACACAGTATTCGCGTAACATAACGTTGAAATGGTTAGTCTTCTGACTGAATTGCTTTAATTGCTCGACCGTTCATTACGTGAATGAATTATGCCATTTGCTGATTCAGTCAAAGGAACTTAAGAATATGTTTATTAAAATAATTGCAAATTGACGACGAGAAAGAGGACTTAATGTCTCCGTTTCTTGAGTTTTCACTCGTACGAAAGTCTTATAGAGTTTGTAAACGTTGAAAAAAAAATTCTAAAAATTACTCTGCGCTCAACCGCGAATTGAAATATAGTCGAATATTAACGAATGATTAATAAATATTAATACTATATAAATTTAGTATGTGTGTCATCTTGAAGCGCTTACAAATTCCAAGACTTCTACATCGAAAATGGAAGGAAACGGATTTTAAGATATAAGTATTTTGTTATATGAAGTATATCAGAGCTGCCTGATTGACGGTTGAAAAGTACGAAAAAAAAGAAATAGGCCTTTGTTTGTGATTTGCTGTCAATGCAAATACATAAGTTAACGATTTTTCAGTGCTGTCGCGCAATTAGGCAACTCCTATTCTTGCTGTAAATAAGATGGAAAATAAGAAAAAAAGAATATCTCCTGTACATGCTACGTTGCTTAAAACTTCCTATAGATATATATATTTTTGTTCTTTTGTAATATAATAGAAGTCTTGATTGGGAATGAAAGTATCAAGAACTTCGCCATGACGAAACGAGGAGCATACCTCTTGTGATGTTACATTTCAAACATGACGCACGCTACAACTTGTGATTACGAAAATCATTATTAATATTTTAATGTGAAATAAAGTCATTACATAAAACAAAGGAAACAAGAACGAGTTCATCCATAATCGTCGTTCATTCTAATTTACACAGTCGGCGGAATCATGTTGCCACGAGAAGTCGAGACAAAACGACGCGGCGTGTCAGTGACGTTTGCTGATTAAGTTGTTATTTCGGCTTTAAATTACACTCGATTTATCGGTATCTCCCAAATATGTCGTCGATACGGATAGACGCGCGCGTACGTTTCGCTCGCAATTAGCGTCTACATTTCCCTTAATTTCCTGCGCACTAATTAACATACGCTAAGAGCTACTTGCACCTTGCACCTCTAATAGTTTTTTTTTTTTGCTTTTTTTTGTTGCTTGCCTATTTAATCCCGTGCAAATTAAATTGCCATTCGTTTAATCATTTATTTCTCGCCTTGTTCTTGTCTTTCTCTTTCCATCTCTTTCTTTCTCTTTCGCTCTCTTCAAATCGCTCGGTTCGCGAGAAATTGACAGCGAGAATCATGTATGACGCGTCCTGAGAATTTTTCTCTCCGGAGTTCTTTTGAAACTCTAGAACGCGGTTGAAAAACAAAATAACGAGGATTATATTTCCTCTGCGCATATCATAATGCCTCGAGGATGAGAAGACGCAACAAGGAGCCTCCAACAACCGATCTTACGTTCGCTGCTCCTGATTTCAAAGAATTTCGCGCGTCTCTCTTTCGAACAGAAAAGTAATTTTTGTTTTCATTACACGCACGTGAAAGATCTCTGTCGCACGCCCGTGTGGTTGCTTTAAACCGGCATACGCTGAAATTACACTCTGCCTGGCCGTCTCAGCAGTTTCGACGCGACCTTTCAAGTAGTACCACCTTCGCGCAGCGATTTCTGTTGCTCTAAGAGCCGCTCCAACGGGGACGGACCCGGTCCTGACCATAAGGACCGCGCTTTCATCTGATCTTGATTGGTCGAGCTCGAAATCGGCGTGTTGACGGTGCTCCATGTGTTGCCGCTAAACAAGGAATAAGTGTTCCCGGTGCTCACAGCTTGCGACGGCTTCTGATCCAACTGGATGAAACATTAAGAACGTTATCGTGCAATAATAATACTTGACACCGACACATGAAGTGACCGATTACGAAATCATATATCACTCTATTCTGCAGAAGACGACGGTACTTACTTCGAACAATCTGGAATCCTCGAAACTGTTACCCGCAACAAGATGTCTGCCGTTCTGCTGCTGGTAATTCTTGCCTGGTGTCAGCGGCATCCTGTTCGTCATGTTTCCGGAATTGGACGAGTCGCTCCAGTTGGAAAAGGCGTTATCGATGCCGGTCGAGTCCTTCATATGGATCTGAGTGCTATTATCAGTCGAAGGGCCCCACCAGGTAATTGGTGGTTGCGGCGGCCGATTGTCTTTCCACAGATTGAAGTGCTCCGCGGGCTCGTAATTGCAAAACATATTATAGTTGTTTGCCGGTTGCTGTTGCTGACTCTTCGTCATGTTAACCTGACTCGGAAACGCAAAGTCCACCATCTCGGCGTTCTTCTTGTAGAACGACGGCGACGGCTGGTTTTGCGGCAATGTTGGGCAGCCAAAGGCGTTCTGTCCAAAATTGCTCTGGCTGAAGTTCAGCTGGAAATTGGACGTGCCCGTCGGGCTTGGCGAGTTCGTCAGATTTGTCACTTGTTGTTGTTGCTGCTGCTGCTTTTGCTGCGTAGGATCTTTCTTGTAACCAGACAACATTGACATCATCGACACGTTTGCCATAGCCGCGGCGCCGTTTACGTTCAACTGATTGTGTATGGCGCTCGTCAGCCTGCCGTTGTTCTGCATCATGCTCTGCTGCTGCGCTTGCAGTCCCATCGCATGGCTCTGTTGCTCCACGCTCATGCCCGGTTGCAGGCCCACGTTAGCCGCTTGCAAGTTCATACTTTGTGGCAATATATTCTGCTGAGCCGGAGAACCGAGTCGCATGTTTTGTTGCTGCTGTTGCTGCAGTAACTGTGCTGAAGTGTGAGACACATTCTGCGACATCCTCTGATGCATCTGCCGGCTCTGGTTAATTGCGTGATGCACTGCTCCGATGGGTTGCGACATCGCAGCCGTCGGTTGTTGATTGTTACCGAGCTGTCCTTGCATTTGATAACGCGATGCGCTGCTCACCGCGGGTCGACTCGCCATAAAGTTCTTAGCGAACTGCGGATTCTGTACGTTGAATGACTGATTCGCGTAGCAGACTGATCCACCTATCGGTGGAGCTGGTTGCTGGGCCTGTTGAACGTGCATCTGCGGTAACATCTGTTGAGCTTGCTCCTTTCCAGTCAGCTGACTCATCTGACCTGGCATTGGGATGTTAGGTGGCAACTTCGCGACTCTCTGTTGACTCTGAATCGACGCGGACGGGTTTTGGCCGATAGCGGATGAGGCGAGTGGCATCGCTGATCGAGTCTGAGCGGTAACGAGTGCGTTCACAGCTGAAGTGTCATTAGCTTTGACCATTTCCGGCATTGGAATCGGTTTTGGCGCCGTGATACAAGTACCGACTGGCGGAATCGTTGCCACTTTCACCTTCCTATCGTTATCCTCCTCCACAATCACCGGCGACACATTCTTGAACGTCACTTGCTTCTGCTCAGTCTCCGCGCGTCGCATGATCGCCTGCATCGCTATGTTTTGACGCGGTTTTCTCACGCACGGCAAAACATTTACCTCGACGTTATTAGTCTCTGCGACGATGTTCGTCAGAGAATCTCTGTTTCGTTCTAAGGAGCCTTGTGGCTTAAGAATGCCTTGGAACACCTTCCTGTCGGTAGCGATTTCAACATCGGTCTCCACGGAACATTTGCTGCTAGCTGCTTCTGACAATACCGGGCTTACAGAAGCGTTCAATTGCTTGTCTTTATTCATGCTAAGTTCTTCGAGCTCTTTCATCAACTCGTTGCTGAGACCGGCGCCATTGCTCATCGAGGTAAATCGAGGTAAATCAAGGTTGTCCCCAGTTTTTTCTTCCGTTGTGATAGATATTGGCGCCGAACCGTTGACTTGATGTTGAGCGAGGCAACGACCCAAATGCAGAATACGCACAGCACGTAACTTATTCAACGTCACGACGTCGCCTTCCAAGTCGGCGTTCGTGAATCTGAGATTTTCGAAGCTCCTCTCCAACGGCAGAAAACCTTGAAGGTCGCGGTCCTCTGGCAGTGGCACTGCAGCATACTCGCTGTGCTTAAAATCCACCACGCAGTTCTGCAGAGCATTCAACAGCATACAAAGACTGGGCCAAATTTGCAATCTCGATGTGAAAGCGGTCTCCTCTAAAACCGTGGGTTTTATGCGGATCCAATCAAGGCACAGTTTTATAGAAGGCAACGCGAAGTACTCGATGATGGAGTCTTTTATTGTGTAGACGGGCAACAGCAGGGCGGACAAAGTGCCCGCGATTAGGTCCAGTATGCAGTCGCGGGCGAGTTTCTCGTCGTTAGTTAAATGCTCGTTCTTCAGCAGTTCTACGCTATCGGCGCAGATGCCGGCGGCGTGCTGCAGAGCGTATAGATTTATCACCAGCATTTGTATGAGCATCCACGAGCTAAAGCTCTCGGTGGCGACCAGCGCGGTCAATGTCTCCGTCAATAGTCTGCTGTACGTACACGCGAGCTTCAGGTCTCCGAAGTTGTGGATTATTCCGTGTAGCTTGAGAAAGACGGCGATGTACTCTTGCGAGTTCAGCTTGGTCTTGCCGTCAATATTAAAGGACTTGTCGTTCAAGGCTGACGACAGTGTCTTGGCGAGATTGGCCGTCGCCACGGGAAATGGATGCTTAACGGCTACCGAGCGTGCATAATGAAATACTGTTCCCAGTTTGTCGCCGCGGGATGCTTCCAGCAACGCCAGCTGATTGTACGGCTGTCCGCTCGACGGTGACAACGAAACGGCGTGTCTGTAGAACATCTCGGCCTGTTTACTCTCATTTCTGTAGCGCGCGATGTCACCCAGGTGTACAAGGCAATATTGGCAGGCATAGAAACAAGATGACTTGTGAGGCGCGGATAATTTCTCGACAGCCTTCCATGGGGACGTGCAACCGTAAACGTAACCCTTCCTGCAAGGCACAGACCCTTAGTATACACTCATTCTCGATGATTCGTTTTGAACGAATAGATATAATGAGTCAAATTCATGAATCTGATTCGTGTATATTCTTAATCTTGGACGAATCTAATAGCATATACTAATTAGCTTATGTGCACGTTGAATAAATATAGATGAATGAAATTTGAATAAATTTACATGTAATGAGAAGATAAGTCAGCAGAAACATACCTTCTAAAGGGTAGATCCAAGTCGAAGATGGTGCAGATTTCCTGCAGCAAAGTCAAGTAGAAACCACTAGCTGCTTCCAAGCACCAGCTGAGTAATGCTTGGGATTCACCACGCTTGGGATTCTTCCTATCCTTGGCCTGTGACTGCAGCGTTGCTATATAATTCTTAAATCCAAGATTCCACAGGTCCTGCTCAACCTTTCTGTCCAAAGCATACTCCAGATCCAATATGAGGACTTGCTGATATATTTTCTGCAACTGTTGTTGACATACCCAGGCATCGTTGTCGTTTAACAGATCCTTGCAGCGCTGGACTTTGTCCTTCAGTGGTTCAGCTTTTCTGTTGAACATGTATCATGTATTAATACAAACATTAAAGAAGGAAGAGCAAAGATTTTTTTAACTCTTTTTTTAAACAGAAATAACACTGCATTAGACTTTATATTTCTTTTTTCTAATTTTGGTGGGTATGCCATTAATTTTAATGGTTTTAGTCTCTTCTGAGAATATTTGTGGCTATGCAGTTTATGAGTTCTCTTCTTCTAATCTTCTGTAAAGTAAAATCTTTTCTACCTTTGATTCTGTTATATTTGTTTGTCTATCTTTCTTAAGAATTGATAAATTATTTTAACCATATTTTTCTAATCCCTATTTTTAATTATTTTGTCTACATCCAAAATCATTTTTTTCTTTTCTTATTCTATCTTCCTAAACATAAACTCCCTTTCTTTATCATATTTTCCCAATATATAGAATCTATGGCTAATATCTTCTTTCTCTGCTCCGCAATCACATCTCATTATACCTATAATTTCCTTTCTACTTAATGACTTATTTAAGTTGTAATGATTTGCTCTTATCCCGTTCACTATTGTACTAAAATCCCTTGCGTCGTTTCTTCCTTTAAACCACGGCTTTTCCATTCTCTTTAAAAAAATTTCTCAAAGAACTCTTTCCATTGAACTTCATTACTTCTCTATTCAAGGTTAGATTACATATTCATGTCACTCCAAAGACAAAAAGTGCAACCTATTCTATGCAACCTACTGATCAGCTGAAAAGAATAGATCTCGTAATCACAACTGTAACTTACTTGAGAGCCTGAACGGCTGCCTTTAGGCCCATATTCCGTGTTCCCTGTCGCTAGATACGACACCATTCACCTGCAGAATTTAACACATCGTTAATCGTCGCGGACGTTGGGAAGTTTCGCGCAAAACTCGAAATCGATTCCCTCTTTGATTTCCCTCATCGGGGATCACTCGGATTTGGCTGATGATCGCGGTCGCACGATCATGCTTGAAGTGAGTATAGCAGACGACAAAGGCGACGACGATCGTGAGCGAACATTTCGTCTGGCGAATATCAATCGATCACGCGACTCCTGCGATTACTTCGCGTCGTGACGCGACCGTTGCATTCGACAAGGAATTAACTAAATGGACGCCATACTTCATAACGTGAAGTACGTACGCTTAATAAGCACAACGCGCTACAGAGCAAACCAACGAAGACAATGTAACCTAACCTAACCTTAACGTGAGAAGAACGGTGAAACCTTTAATGACCTTCGGACCGTTTGCAACATAGCGGCTTATTTTTGCCCCGAATGCGACTGACGTCGACGCCTTTCATGAAGAAGAACATATAACGATAAGCGACGATCCACGCGAAGATCGTAATCATTCGCCGAGACTATCGTCCGAGATAACAAGTAGGTTAGGATTAGGTTAGGTGCAATGTGGTGCACGGAAGATTGCTCGCCGAATGGCGACAGATGGATGATGTGCGTGTACATGCATTCTGGTGGCGCAAACAAGCGCGCGGAAAAGAAGCGGAAGAGGAACAGAGATTAGCGAATTTGACGGCGAAATTGAAACCAGAACAGAGATACCGTTGAGACTAGCCGATCGACATCTTCATCTCCCGTGTGATTCACTCCAGCACATTTCTATACGAGCAGCCTTTCAACGCCTCCGACGTTAGCAACTGGAAGCTCGCGACATGCTCAAGGAAGTAACCGCGGCGCTCTCGCGACAGATCCCCAAATTAACATTAATAATTTATGTTATGAAAAAATGGAGAGATAAGTTTCGAGAATTTTTATGAAAATGACTGCTTTTCTTAAATGAGACAGTACTCTTTACGAGAGACATCAGCTTGATACGCTAGGTAGAATATCGCGTGTGAGGTTAAGTTGATCAAGATGTTCAACATTACGAGGCCTCGTTTAAGCGAGTATTTCAGACAGTCTCAATGTCTGTGGCAACAACATAGTAAAGTAAGTACTCAATTTTTTGTAAACTCGTAAAAAATATGAATTTCAAGATTACGTTCTACGCGAATTGTTTTGCGTATCATCTACGTAACTTAGTTTTTTTCATGTAAACAATGTAAACTGTGTAGAATATTGTGAATTATATTAAAATATACAAAAAGGAGTAATTAAATTATGAGACAGTTGCAGTATCTGTTTTGAATATTAATCATAAATGTAATTTTAAAGAAGATAAATTATAGGAAATTTTTATCTCATGTAATAGATTGATAGATTGAAAATTCCAAAAGTAAGAATATTACCAGAGAATTTTATAAACTCTAACTTGTTTAAGAAACAATGTTCATCAATTTATATCAGGACTTTGAAGATAAAATAAAGATATCAACTTTAATTGTTGAGTAAGGCGTATATTCTTTGAACATCACTCATAGATTACTCTTTTATATAAATGACGTCTCATAGTTTACATTGTTTACACATAAATGTAGAATATTATACAATCCTACCTTACATAAGCTTATCCCTTTAAGTAACAAGTAAACTTGAAATATAAATTCCTTAATTATTTCACAACAAGGATTCCCTGTTATTCACATTCTCTGTACTTGTTTTAGAACAATATTTCAGTTGATCCAAGCAGGACAAAGCAAGAGAACTTGGAAGCTAGACAAAAAGAAATCATGGCACGTGGCCTGCCAAAACGAAAGCGAATAAAAGATGTAAAACAAATTCTCCTGATTGCCTCTGGCAAAGGTGGAGTTGGAAAATCAACAACTGCAGTTAATCTGGCAACTGCACTGAAAGTTGTAGAACCAAAACGATCTATCGGATTGCTAGACGCTGATGTTTTTGGGCCTTCTGTACCTGTAATGATGAACATACACGAATCACCAGCAATAAATCGTGAGAACCTCATGGAGCCACTCGTGAATTATGGTATAAAATGGTAATTGTTAACTCTCTCATGGAAATATTTTACTGAAAATCTCTTTCAATTGACCCTTTTTCATTAAAATTTATTAAAATTAAAGTTCATAAAATTAAAATTCATTAAAATTCGTAATTTATTTTATTGTTATATAATAATAAAATTAATTTTATGAATTTTAATGAATCTTAATGAATTTTTATGAATTTTAATGAATTTTAATTAATCTTGAAGAATCTTAATAAATTTTAATGAAAAGAGATCAATTAAGAGAGATTTTCAGTAAATATTTCAATAAAATATTTCCATCAGGGCTGTCAACCATCTCCAATGATCCATACAAGCAGGAATGAAATGAGTAGATGTACATTGTATAAAATATCATATTTCACTCGCAGTATGTCTATGGGCTTTTTAATTGACGAGAAATCACCGGTAGTCTGGAGAGGACTCATGGTGATGAGTGCATTGGACAAGCTGGTGAATCAAGTAGCATGGGGGCCGCTTGATTACCTGGTGATCGACACACCTCCCGGAACAGGCGACACACATCTGTCCCTCATTCAGACTCTTTTCATCGCCGGCGCGTTGCTGGTAACGACGCCGCAGAAAGTCGCGCTGGAAGTGACCAGGAGAGGCGCTAACATGTTCAAGAAATTGGACATACCTGTCGCTGGCATCGTAGAAAACATGAGTACAGTCACATGTCCGAAGTGTATGACTGAGGTGTCTCTCTTCGGTAACGACACGCCGTCATTCGCTGAAGAGCTAGGTAATAAATGAAAACGATTAGTCAAGTTCAGCGATAGCGGAGCAGTTTTCTCCGTTGAAAGTGACTCCGTTGAATCCTAAACGTTAATCGTTTGCACGTTTAAAAATACTGAAATTTTGTATCTTCATCTCTGTCGCAGGTGTGGATATTTTGCAGAAGATACCGATGCACAAAAGTATCGCGGAGGGTTCGGACAGCGGAAGACCGATTGTTCTGTCGGCACCAGAAAGTAAACAAGCGGAGGCTTACAGAGAATTGGCCGAGCACGTTGTTGCCTTTCTGAGTAAACAAAGAATAAAGGGAGACTGATCTTAAAACGTTTAATTTTTCTGCTAGAATAACGTATATATCCTATTCCTGAACAGTATGTTAAAATATTTTAATAAGGAGAACTCTAGAAGTATTTGATAGACACTAGAAATATTTAATAAAAAATATATTGAAGTATTTTGATAAAATACTCTAAAGGCATTTAATAAAGAGTATTTTAAGTGCGCTTCGAGAACTTAGCGCACCT